CTCTCTCGATTATTATCGATTTATTCGATTAATTGTTGTAGCCCTACATTATACCATGCATGACCACAACACTGTGGTGTTAACAGATGCTTTCAATGTATAATAACCTGTCAGCTTGCATCCCCATTTAGCATACATCAATGCCTTACTATGCAATCCCCAGTCACTGTTTCATGTACAGGAACTAAAAATGTACCTTTTAATGTACATTAAATTATTTCCAGCCAATGCCCAAAACTCTACATTAAAAATTAATTCTGCAATTACATTTGCTACACATTAACGATTACATTCATTATGCATTCAATATGCAGCATTGGTCCACTTTGTACACTGCACTGTCATTTTTATTCCACATTGCTCAGCTAGAAGTCAGCTAACTGTCAAGCAAAAGTAATTTTTGTCTGTACCCCCTACAAAGTGGAAGCTTTGGATCCCAATGGGAAAAGTTGATTAGTGCTCCCTTCGGGAATGTGAATTTTAGTACTAGTAAAGGTGCAAGTGGGTCAAGGATTATAGAACATATACCTAAGTCTTGGTTCACACCCAGCGTAATCTAGCGCTTTTTCTGCCCCCCAAAAAATGCTACAAAAAAAACAAAACCCTAAAACAAAATCCCATTCATTTCTATGGCCATGTTCACATCTGAACTTTTTGTCGCTTGTAGCAAAATGCCCGTCACTGTAAAAAGTACACGAGCTTCTGTATGGCAGATAAAGGGCTTCTTGGCCCCATAGATTTTTAATGGAAACGCTCAAAAACGCATGTTTGCTGCATTTTGCATGCAGTATATGCTTGTTTGCTTATTTACCTCAATGTGTCACAATCTGCGAAAATGCTGTACTTGATTTATGTGCATAAACTGCGCACAAAAATGTGCAACAAAAACGCGTATAGAAACAAGCAAAAATGGTGTCACCTAGGTGTGAATCCAGCCTATGTGGGCCCTAGTGTGCACCCATGATAGAGGAGTGTATTAAAGCCCCCCTGTTCTCACTCACCACTACACAACCATGGACAAATTGGGTGTGTCCAGCAGCAGAAATGAAGGGGGATGGATGCAGAGGGCTGCTAAGAGTTGTCACTAGATTCTCTGTGGCTAAATACTGATCTCCAGACAAACAGCTAAATATACATTTAAAATGTATTCATGATGTGAACGGGGACTCTTATGGGAAGGGGGGACTCTTATGGGAAGGGGGGGACTCTGATGTGAAGGGGGGGCTCTGATGTGAAGGGGGGCTCTGAAGGGAAGGGGGAGACCCTGATGTGAAGGGGGAAACTCCACGTAATTTTTGTTTCTTTGTTTCTTTGCATGGGGGTCCCCCCTAAAATTGATAACATCCAATCTAGGATAAGTGTCTTGTATAGATTTTGGGGGAACCACACATTTCATTTTTTAGACTGGGGTGCCTTGAGATTTTGCATACTTTTAAAGGGTGCCCTCACTGGAAAAAATGTTAAAGGAGAACTATGAGGTGAGTGCTTTTCACTCACCTCATAGTTCTAGCCGACCTGTGACAATGAGACTGTCACAGGTCGGCTCAGTAGATCGAGAAGTGAGCGAACACATACCGGCGTTCGCTCACTTCTCGATCCTGTCACGGCTCTCTGCCATGACAGGGAAGGGGCTGGATTCCCCGCTCCGATCCTCCAGCGCTGACTGGTGGAACAGACGGGGAGGGGGCGGGTACAGCTGGCTCTGCCTCTAGATAGGCAGAGCCAGCTGTCAGTCACGCAGCTGCGCAGATCCAGACATAATTGTCGGGATCCGCTTCAACTGCGGCGGCTCAGTACAGCTCGCGGTATACTGAGCTTAGGGTGACAGGAGGACGCTAGTTTGTGTCCTCCCGTTACCCCAAGGAGAACTATGGGGAAAAGCCCTAACCCCATAGTTCTCCTTTAAGGAACGCTGCTTTACCCTACCTTCCTTACAGCATGCTCCTAATCGGCACATGTACACTGCAGCTCACCTGATTGGCTCCTAGTGCTGCCCCTTCATTTTCTAGCTAGTATTGCTTTACAGGGATTACAAGAGCCTTATTCCAAGTCAAATTCTAGTAATTAGGCTAGTTAAACATAAAACAAACTGTAATTTTGTTTAATTATTGCATAATTGCCTTTAATTGTATTTCTTTTATATCTGCCTGGAGTTCATCTTTAGGGGTCCATCCCCTATACATCTGCCGAGTTTTGAAAAGCTGTATCTGTGCATATAAAGCAGGCTGAATGCTGCCTCCAATACAGAGACCTGATTTTCATTTTCTTACAGGTCTTCCTATGTACATGAAATCAGGAGCTGTAGGAAGTTTAGCTATCCCAGTCCTGTCTATCGTGTGCAGTAACATGAAACCTGCGGCAGAGGCCTTCGTCTCTCCCTTTCCTCGCAGCCCTCTTGCTCACATGCTAACCTGACTTCTGTATCCTCTTTCTATTTTTATGACACTAATGTGCTTTGATGTAACCAGTCTCTCTGTGTCCATTGATATAACTCAAGGCAGTGAAAGGAGGGGACTTTTAAACAGTAATATAAAATATTAGCTAAAGCCATTACAACCAGAATTTGCCTCTGGCATGTAACACTACCTGTATGCAGTTGGAATAACTCATACATTAAGGTGTATCTAAACGCAAGAATACATGTTTAATATATTGCAGCTTACCACTCCTTAGATGTGGGGGCTGCATTAAATTGCCTTTTTCAGGCATTGATTCCTTTATTTTAACCTGGTGATCCATACAGTAATATGCTTCCTGTGCTAGGGGGACAATGTTCATTCACTGTACTGTATTTATGGAAAATAGTGTTGTCACCCTAGGACAGGAAGTGTGTTTGAAATACAAAACACCTCCATTTCTTCTGATTTCCATAGTATTCTTCTAGTTCACAGAGAGAACTGATAACATTGTTTAAGATTTTAGTGCAGTAGAGTCACTGCATTTTCAGCTCAGTTCCTCCTCAGTGCACATGCTCCCCTACCCTCACTGTGTCTTCAGTGTGCATGCTTTCCTACCCACACTGTGTCTTTAATGCACATGCTCCCCTACCCTCACTGTGTCTTGACTGTGCCATACATGATAGGTATTGTTGCACATGCCAGACTGAGAGCATGTATTCAGGGTCATCATTCACTCTTTGTTCTACATTGATGACCTGTAAAGGGTTTTAGGCTTGACATGTTTGGCAAAACTATATATCGGGTGTACTTTACTGTCTCTCAGATGTGACTAACTGAAAACAATGTACTCTCTGTATGGCAGAAATTTTGATCATGTAAGCAGCCTATCCAAGCTGCTTACACACTGTCCTGCCACTGTACAATATTTGTGGCTATTGTCTCTCAGATATGCTCATACTTTTATTTCAAGATATTACGCACTCATTTTTATTTCCGTTTTGCATTTACATACTTGCATGCTGTTGTTTATTCTATATGTTAACAGGTAACATTCCATGTGAATCCGCTCTGGGATCTATCTAGGACGTGTCATGTCTGGACTGTACAGGTAACTGATTTAGGCCTCTTTCACACTGGATGATCAGTACATGGAACCCCTCCTGATCGGTAGGGGTACGGATCAGATGTGACATTCATGACCATCCAGTTTTCTCCTCCATCTTGCAATGAAAAACTGAAATGACCAGACCTCATGTCGGCCTATGAGGAATTGGATGTAAATAGACTGTTGAAATCAGATTACCCCCGATCTGGCACAATCAGGTCCAGGGAAACCGAACTCTGTTCCATTTGTTTTTCCAGACCTGGCCAGAGTCGGGGGGGGGGGGGGTAACTGGGTGTAAACAGACGTGCATCTGTTTACACCCAGCTGCCTATTGACCAGCATTGAGCATCCAATCCAGTCCGCCTGAAAAACTGACAGGTGGACCTGTTCGGACCGCCAGTTTGAAAGGGGCCTCATGCTGGTTGTCTATTACTGTCGTAGTCTTAAGCTGGGTATACACCGTTAGAAGAACATTTTTCAATTTTCTAATAGTTAATGGGGTCACTTCAACAATTAATTTAGACTGTGGGGCCCAAATAAATTGGAGGAGTGGGATGGAACTTTTTTCTCGACTGAACAAAATTGAACAGTGAATGTGGTTTTCTTTTCAGAGACTTCATTCATTCCAGAATCGTATATTAAAATCAAACTACATTCATCAAGTCTCTAGTAGCATTGTGGAATGTTCTGATTAGATTTTTCATGTGAAATTCTAAACGTGTATACCCAGCTTAACACCGCCCACAGCTTTAGGGCATCTCCCAAGCATGTAATTAATAGGATTGGTGTGTTTTCCATGTTGCTGATCCTGGGCAGATTCACTCAACACTTCTGATGATGCACAGTAGTCAACAGCAGCCAGAAACATGCTACAAGAAACTTTAAAACCACACATTTTTTTGACTAAAATTATAAAAAGGTTGTTCTACCTACAACAAGAAAATCGAATTGTTTCCGGAGTAAGATAAAACATTTAAATGAATAATTGGCTTCCTTTGTAACATCATACCACCATTTAATCTAAGCACTTCAATAATATACAGCATGGGCTATAACATACAGTGCAATACAAATACAAGTTGGAAACAGCACATTCATTTAAAGGATCTATAAAGCCAATCAAAGGTACAGATAACACGCTAAGAGAGACGCCAAGCTAAGAAGATTTGGTTACAAAAGAGGGACAAGTGAAAACTGTGATAACGACTAGCAGCATTGATAGAAATATTTCGGCCATATGGTTGGCCTTACTAAAGACGTTATACTGAAAGATTTCAAGACAGCTGAGGTCTATCCGTCAGACACACAGCTCGTTCCCAGAAGCATACTCTCCTGACAGCATGACTTCAGTGAGTCAACTTTATAAGCAGGATGGCCGGCTAGAATAGAATACATCGGAATACAAAACGCTCCCCGGTGGCTGTTCTATTCTGCTTTCTATGTCTTCAGTCTAGGCTGAACAACAGACACAACGGTGATAGATAAGAGTACAGTACCTGCCACAGGAGAGGGCTTCCTAAGCAGCAGCCACCTATTCTTCCACTGAAACAGTAAAACAGAAGAAAATATTAGGCAGGCCTCTTTAAAATTCCAGGGCAAAAATGTTTTCCGAAAATCAAAGTTAATAGCGGACGGAAAAAAAAAATTAATGTCCATTTCGCTGACCTTTTTTCCATCTCTCAATCTGACTTGACCCTCCACCACAACCGAATCCGTCATCTTCAGTCATGGTTCCAAACAGCTGCTGCCTTCTCTCTCCCCTCTCTCTTTCTGAATGTACTTAAGCCCAAGGGTCACTTTCAAAATAGCTTTAATAGCTCTGCCTGGCAGGAGACACACAGACAGGGAGAGCTGCATTTTGTGACACGCAGCCCGCCTGAGCAAATGGCCACTAACTTTTACAGCCGCCTCCCACCGCCTCTTACCAGGGCAAGTGGGCATGGGGATTTGACAACTGTCTAAGCTTTTAACCCTTTTAGGGTAGAAACTACGCGGTTTAAGAAGTTTGTGTTCAGTGCAGAGCAATATATTCTGTAAGAGGAATAAGTAGGAGTGAACGGCTGTTGGGACTTGCAGGCAGTAATCCTGCTTATTATCTTTATATCTCGGGGCTTAGGAACAGAGGAGGCGAGGTGGGCACCAAAGTTGAAGAAATCCCGCAGGAATCTTATATGATTCAGATGACTGATAGGGCTCAGGCTGTGCATTGATGATAGCCATTCATTGAATGGTTTAGGCTCCACCTGTTCTACTTTCCAGATCTAAACTATTTCCTTGCCTGATCATGGCTGCAAACTGTCCCTGAATTCTAAGAGCTCTTCTAGCATTTGGGATTTTTCCACCCCACCTCCCACCATCAGCACCCATAGTCATAGCTGCCGATACATTTAGGCAATTCCCTTTAAAAAAAATGCCAGGCGGGCCTAAAGTGAGAGGCAGAAGTTCTGCACATGGAGGTAGTAGGGGGCAAGCAGATTCTCCAGGACAAGCGGTGATCAGGCCGCACAATCTAGAGATACAGCTCGACCTCTGATGCAAAGTTTCCAATGTTTGCAGCAGGGTAACTCCTGTTCAATCCCCAAATGCCCAAGCAGCCGCTCCTTGATGAGGTCACTCCATAAAAACAACTTTGTTTAGCTTCTACCATGCCACACAGTCCCACCATTGGTCCATTTCACCCTACACAGGTCTACGACTAAGCCTGTGTAGGGTGAAATATGTTAGACCACAGATGGGGCTGTGTGGAATGGTAGAAGCCAAGTAAAGTTTTTACAGAGTGACTTATCAGTTTGCGGCTGCATGGGCATTTTGAGATTGAACAGCCTGGAGCGGGAATGCACCCCCATTAGCGATCAACCGACATTTCTCTGCAACTGAAGGCTGAACTCCAGGAGGGAGCAGAGACTTTTTCATGTTGGGATAAATCCTGTGTTGTGGTCTATTCTGGTGCTCTGGCATTGTAACGGTGCTACACAATGATTGTACAACTTGGGCTCAGCTGCAAAAATTCCTAAGGTTTGCTGTGTGTTAAATTCTGGATTGCAATTTTGTGATAAGTTTGTAGCCTAGTCTGGTGCTCAGGCACTCAAACATATTTGTGGTTCTGGTCTCTTAGGTAATACACTCTCATTTCAAGGTAAAATCTATGTTTTAACCTTTCCTTCTTAATTTTGGCCTAACCAAGCTGCTTCCATAGGCGTCTATAGATAAAGATTTGCCCTGCGAATATCTGTGAATGCTTGTTTTGTGCGAATATTGACAAGTACAAACATTCCTAATGTTCTTTCAAATGTATGGTTATGTAATACTGCATTATAGCCACTAGATGGAGCAGAAGAGCACAGAAAATACTTATTTTCTGTGCTCCTCATCTCCATCTAGTGGTCATAATGTAGTATTACATCACAATACATTCGACCTGAATTGAAAAAATATGATTACGTTTATCTTTGCCATTATTCACACAAAACAAAAGTTTACAGATATTTGTAGGGTAAAGAGCCTTGCAAATTGTTTTTTAAATAGACCCCATGCTGTCCAGCCAGTGTACTCTCAAATAATACAGTGTACCTTTGATTTCAAGATAATGCACTCTACTTTTTATTGCAGTTTTGCATTTGCTGCCTATTCAAGTGTTCACATACTGTCCTGACACTGTCTAAACTATTTATTTTCCCAATCATAGCTGCAAACCATCCCATAAATTCAAAGGGCTCTTCTAGAGTTTGGGATTTGTCCCTAGAAACATTAGGCTTATAGCACAGTTCCGGTCTGATGGACAGAACGTTTAAAAAAAAAGTTGATGCAGTCACTAAATATAACCATTTGAAGTGTACTCGTCATCAAAATTCCCACTTCACATAGGATAGGTTACACGATTACCAAATCACATTGGTACTATATGTGCTTCCCATGCATTTCTTAAGCAACTACAACACTCAACATGAAGAATCCCATTATTTTCAATTATATCTGTTCACCCCTGAGTATTGTGTTGTCTGTCGCTAGTAGCTTGCAGCTTAAAAAAGAACATGCAGTGGCGGCACCAAGGTGGGTGTCACCCTTTGCGACTGCTGAGCATGCGTTATGACGTCTGTGGTGTGATGTCATCACGCATGCATGGTAATATATTTTACTGCTGGCGGACATCTTGGTAATGGATGCTGGCAAAGGGAGGAGGGGATAGGGGATCAGGTATGCTGCTGGGTCCCCCCCCCCCCATCCACCTGGCCGC